AGCAATATATTTTTATACATGAAGATAGATAACGGTTAAAATATAAATTGTACTACCCCTTCAATGACGGATTAAAGTWAAAAAAATAAGGTTGTTGAATAAGTATAAATATATATAAATAAGGGTAGAATATGAGGGATAGATCCACTGGTATCTTTTTTGTTACTTTCTTATAACATTCTGATGATGATGGRAAGTGATAAAGTGAACTACCCTCTTCCTTTAGGGAAATTAAATGTTTGCTAACCTAATACTCCCTTCACAAAATTCAAAATATGCCACTGATAAATAAATATGTGTCGCGGTTGTACACTTAACTGCAGAAACGCTCAGTGCTYAGAGTGTACATACTGGCTGGTGTTTTTAGCACCTGGATTAGTGTCCACACTGGTTTTTAGCCACAAATTCTTGCAAAACTTACATTATGTGTTCCAAATCATAGAGTAATATTATTATATTATATTACTCTATGTTCCAAACCAACCATTTTYCCCTACAAACAGCTAATCAGAAGCGGAAACTCATTTGATTATAAGAAAGGGGAACAAAACATAGTAGAATTCAAATACTCAATGCCTACCTATTTAAAAATTGTTGCTCTGCTCACATACTATATACCTACTAATAACAACCTTACTCTAAAAATAAAAACATATGAATTGGGATAGTAAATATAATTAATTATTATAMATTTTATAATAATTAATAGTTAATACAATTTATCAAATAAAAATATAAAATATAATTTACTATGTGATAATATAAGTGTCGACTCAGATCTTTTTTAAGAATATCTATAATTACTACCTAATCTAAAGTGTATTTCCAAAAGAGGAGTAGTAATAAATTAATTACCTTAATACCTTAAATACCTTAATTATCTATCAACATTATATTTATTGTTTTATTTTCATTTAACCATTAATAAAAGTACAAAATATTTTTATACCATATTATGTTCCATATAAGGAAGGGGAGCAATTGCCCCCCTGCTCACCTAGATTGCGTCTCTGAAACTAATGGCCATAGTTGCCTGGCGTATGATTAATAAAATATAAATAAATATAATGTAATGATTTTAGTTCTTAATTTATGTATTTTTGTATAAGTTGTGTTATTGCCATGCGCCGTATCCTGACAATTGAATGATGAAATATCAGTACCCAGTGGGTACTACCCACTATAGCATATGCATACCTCAATTGATATTGATGTATATATTTTTAATTTCACTATTTGAGTACTTAATTCTTATGYWTTTTTAAAGTGTTTTCTACAACCATATAAGATATAACTTAAGATAATTTTAGATTCTGAGCGAAGCGAACCTAACCTAACCTTCTCTTCATAGATAATATGATTTCTAAGATTGGATAGGCAATGTTGATGCATGTAACTCRGCGCGGTTGTTCATAAACATAACATAACACGGTAACTACGTTTATATGTTTAGTACGTTTCAAAAATTTCATTTTTTTTTTTTAGATTTATAGAGCTGAACTGGTATAACTAGAACCGAGTGAACTGACCAATCGTATGTCCAGAAACATAACATACCTATTACCTAGTAATTTTTACTCAAAAGAATTAGGTTGAGGTTTATAATATAATAATTTTATGAGTGGCCTTATTTAGAAGGATAAGGATAAGTATGATGATACTACTCGTACTACCACCTATCGGATGATACTACCAATATCACCAATAATTATTGCATAAGCTGTTGATAGATGGCTCTGCCACAAATACTCACTGAAACGTGACATCGAGTTGTCTCTTTGACGTCTTCTAAGGTTAACCATCGTTAGTTCCTTTTGATTTGTCATCAATTTGACAACATRATAAACTAAATAGTAAGTCACTCGTTATTCTATCATTAAATTTAGTCCCACCTCCCACAGTGCAAAAATCTGGTGAATCAATCGGACAGCTGCTCGTGTTATGTAGATGTCGTTTGTCATAAATAGTTGCCGGCGACTCACAATTATTTAAGATCATACTTCACAGGATCATTTCTGTAGTATGCATCGTCCCCTCCAGGTGCAAATCTGGAGTCGTCATCAGCCACGATGATGAGGTATGTCCTTKTACCGGAGCGTGAGACAGCTCATAGTCAAYTGTATTAACACTCTGACCATTGAGCAACGATGATCGCAACCAGCTTGCTGGAAGGTATTAGGACAGTCTGAGTGGTGCACTTTAAATTTTAAAAGATCTGTTGGARTTAAATTTTGMTGCGGTACTTGACGCTAGTCGCTAATATCATATCATGAATTTCTAATTCATCCGTTTAAATTTTAAWCAGATWATTCTTCTTTCCGACTCGAAATCCTTACGGTTTCTCATAAAAGTTTTAAATTTTATATCTCTGTAAAATTTATATTTTTCAGTAAAACTCAACGTTTTTTTTATTGAGAATGGAAATTTATACTACCCTTGATGGTTGGGTCAACCATGAAGATAATTTAAAATTGTATACTTATTATTTTATATTTATAATAACATCATCAATTTAATAAAAAAAAAGCATTATTTCTCAATATTGTACGAACTCAATAACTTTTAGTTTTAACTTTCCATAATAGTTATCTAAGTTATCTTGTATTCTAATCAC